AAAACAGGCTAAGCACTGCCTGAGCGATGGTGTGGAGAGGGGGAGGTGTGTGTCAGCATGGAGGTAAGGAGGAAAACTGGGCCAGTGGCTTCTGCAAGTGAATGTGACAAAGCAGCTGAATATGAATTTTGTATTTGATAGTCATCTGGGGATAGGACATGGGTAGCAGGTAGTTCTAGTCCTCTGACAGTGTGTGACTCTAAACTACCTTTGATAAATGCACCTGAGAAACTCAAGGTGAGTTAGGACTATAGACTTTTAAAATGTTGAGGACCCAGGCCAGATACCTAGCTAAGCCATTCCCAGAACAATCTGTTACTTGCCCCCCTCCCCTAATATGACAATATATATCAAGAGCTTACGTAAAAGGTCATTTCAGCTGGACTGAGTTCCTGAGGGCTCAGATATTGTTCTGGAGGGTAAGTAGGTGTTACCCTTCCTCCAAAGATGTCATTCGCATTTGTGGCTGGAATGTTGAGGGGTGAATTTAGGCAGGGCTTCTCGGTGTGCCCCGGGCTTACTTAAGGGTTGGAGGACACTTTTGGGGAAAAAAGGCTCAGACCTTGGTCTACTTCATAAAGCGTTGAAAACATAAATCATTCCTAGTGGGGAGAGGGTGGGTGCAGACCGAGGCTATATTGCAGGAGGCTGCTTGGAGCCCTTGAGGAGGAACCCACCAAAAGGGAGGGGCTCTAAGCAGGACAAAGGCCATGCCCAGGAGGAAGTGCTAACTATCCAACTACAGTGGAGGGCTGCCACCAACCTCACTCCAACCTGTGCTGTGATAGACTTGAGTAAAACAACTAGGTATATGTGAATTGAAAGGCTACATCATTGAAGAGCTGAAGCAGTCAGGACCCAGGCAATTCTTGTGTTGAGATTCCACTCAAGGGGTAAAACTGTCTCCAAGTTATGTTCCTCCCCAGATACGGTCAGCCTCCTGCGTCTCAGGCTTCAGTGTGTTGCTTTGCTTTCCCAATAAAGTGGCCCCTGGGAACTCTGAACTTTCCCATAGTCTTAAAGCCCGTGCCACTTGCTGCCACCCTTGGTGGGACAGGAGGGAGGGAAGGAGACACCTAGAGGGGGGTATGGTTAGGGATTAGGCCATGGACTCCTCTTCTCCTGCAACTTCAGGACTTGGTTCCTACTCTACCAGACTCGACTCACGGAAGCTCTGGATTTTCCAGTGCTTGTTTAGAGGCACCAGGTGACATATCCCAGAAGTACAGGGGAGGTGTGAGCTATAGGACAAATTTTTTTTTCTTTATTTTTAGGACAAAGTTTGACTCACGAGAGAGGAGATATAAAAGAGTCTGCAGACAAATTTCCTTCCCTCACTCCTACCTCCTGGCTATTCTAAGACACAATGACTGGGCATAGTCTCTCTGGAAATACCCGACAGTCCTGAGAAATGAGCTAGGTTTTAAAGTTGTAACCAGCTGGATCACGTACAGCCTTGTATATGCTTTCTTTACTTCCTTCCCTTTTGCCCTCACTCCTCCTTTCCTACAATTATAGTGCCCAGTGAAGCACTCACATGTAATCAGATTGTTTTCTGGAGAAACCAGACTAACATAAAATGTAAAAAAAAAAGAAGTGGATTTGGTGGAAGTTTGCAATGAAGGTAAGGCTATGAAGAAACTTTGGGGCATTCAGCATGTTTAGTAGCCATAAAAGATGAGGGACAGCAGATCTGGGTTCTGGATCCATCATAAAGATAGGCTGACAAGTTTGGGGGTTAGTGGTAAAGTGTGGCTATGGAGTTATGTCTCCAGAAGGTACATTTCCTGTTCTCTAGCAGATGGCAACAGGTAGACAACTACAAGGATTTTTTTCATGGATATATATGCCTATATTGCAGGGATCATAGACATATTTTGGGTGAGGGTCTCAATTAAGGGGCAAAATTATTTTTTGCATCAAGCCTTTATAGCAAATGGCATTAAGAAATGATCACCCCCCCATCAGTGAAAATGAAAAGAATTAGAATGAGAGGCCTCTGTGTCCACTGGAGACTTTCTTTGGCAGAAACCTTGGAAACCTGTGCTTTGCTTTATAAGGGAGGGTAGAGTGTTTCTTGTGCATATACATCACATCACATAATTCTCACCACAGTGCAGGGGGGCAGACATGGTTCTCACCCCCATTTTGCAGATCAGGAATGGAAAACAGTGAGGCTAAGTGCTTTGTTCCAGGTTACAGAGACACAGGACTCAACTTGATGTTCTTTTGCTCAAAATCCTAGCAATGGTTTTGAAGGCAACTGAGGGGGACGAAAACTTCAGATTCCTAAGGGCTTCAGTTGGTTAGTGGCTCCACTTCAGGCAATGAAGACAACTGAGGAAATGATTCAAAGGCGATTGAACTGGGACACTTTTAACGTTGTGCCAGGTAGGGTAATGTGTTTGTATCAGAACCTGTAATTTACGTAGATTCACATACATCTTTTTTACATATTGCATCAGTTGGGGAGTATGTGGAGGGTGGTGGAACTAAACGTATTTGTATGTGTTCAGCACAGTATATAATTGACTCAATTATCCATGTGGGGATTATTGGCTTTTAATTTGCAATCTGGCTTCTCCTCTCAGGATGTTTCTTGGGCTGCTGTAGGAATGCCAACTAATTTAAATAATAATGTAAGTAAAACATAATTAGGTAGGAAAATGAAATTCAATCTTCTGCCAGTTCCTGAAGATTCTACAGCTGAAATGTAACTCTAATCCACGCACTGTCTTTTTATTCTCCAAGGCCACTTTACAACCACAGGATTTTATTGCTTTCGGTAGATTATTGCAAGTTTCCTATCTGTTTTTTTTTTTTTTGCTTACCTCTTCCCAATCCAATCTTCATTCTGCTGACAGCTTAAAACAAACAAGAAAAAAACAAAGAACTCAGCTCTCATCACAAGAATTCCTTTGCGTGAAAACATTTAATTTCACCAGATTAAGTGCACATGCCACAGGCTCCCCAATGCCACCTGCCGATGGAAGGCCTCCTGATCCTGCCTGATGCCTCATCACTGCTCCCGCCTCTGAGTCCCCACGACACCTTTCCCTTGGAGGTGGAGCAAGGTGCCTGTGAGCCGCGTGATCACCCGGCCTGCTCTCTTGTGAGATCCTTAGTGGCCGTCTCTGTGGCCTTCGCCTCTCCCACCACGCAGTGCCTGACTCCGCGTAGGACCCCAAAAGGGAGCCACAGACGCCTGTCCATTTGTGCTGCGGGCAAACCCAGAGGGCAGACACTTGGGCCTTTGGTATCCCAAGTGCCTGGCACAGCGCCTGGCGCCTAAGGCGCTCAGGGAGCGCTGCGGGGCAGATGGGGGTGCGGCGTGTGCCCTGCAGGGGGTGCCTGTGACACGCACACACGCGCCTAAATGCGTATGCTTACACGCGCACTGCATGCGCGATACGCCAGGCACACACACGCCCACGGCCAGGTACATAGAACTAGTAAATATGTAAATATGAGTAAATTAATGCGCCTACGGCCTTAACCCGGCTCAGGC